GATGCCTTCCAAGAGCCCGCTGACGCGGCAGAAGCGCCCCAGAGAGTCAGGGACGCCTCGGCGGTGTCGTCGAAGACACCGACGTTAACGTTCTCGGCAGGAACGCCCTTCTTAGTCGTGACTGAGTAGATTTGTATGAGCTCGGAATGCAAGTAAGAGTGGGAGGATGGTGGTGCGACGCAGAGGGGAAGGCATACACTTCTTCCTCGGCCCAATACTCTTCACGCAAACCAGAATCTTGCCATCTGTAATATCATATCCTCCCTCAATGAAGTTCTTCAGCGTCATCAGGCCGGCAAGCGGTTGACCTTCTTTGTACTCGAGCGGTGTCTTGCACTGCACGCCCTCGTCGCTATTCTCATGCACCATGAAATGGCACGACCGGTCGCGTTCCGGGAAAATGCTCGCGAAGAGCGGCGCGCTCGATGGCGCAAGCTGGCCCGTCTCGCTGTGCAAGATGTGCGGAGTCCATACCGTGACGAGGTGGCCGAGGCGGAGGTTGTAGTCCTTGTTTGCGTACCAGAGTCGGACCTGCAGCGCGATCATGAGTCAGTCGTCGCGTCTCAAGGTCTCATCAATGGCCGCAACAAAAGCTTGTGTGCTTACTGTCAAAGCACCAGTGTCGTCCTTGACGATGATCTTGACGCATCCTTTCGCTGCTCTCGGCTTCTTGCTTGGCGTGCTCTGGTCGTAGAAGTTTGCGACGCGTCCCACGAACGTGACGCACTTCGGCCCTGGAATCAGTGCAGCGATATCGACTTTTTCATACTCATTGGGCGGACTCCAAGTTTGGTTGGCTGGTGGATGAAGCACCGCATCGACTTCGGCTTCCGTGAAGCCATCGCCCGCTTGGGAGGGAGGTGAGGATCTGACTCGTTTCTTCGGGCTTTGAGATGATTGCTTCTCGAAGAACTGCTCGATTGATGGGAACTGCGGTGCCATTAAGGCGCTTTGAAGTTGAGCGGAGGGAGAGGTGAGGTGCGAGAGCAGGTGACTTTGGTATAGGAGGCCAGCTCGGGTAACGTCAGGCCGTGAATTGGCCGCCAACAGGATCACGTAAACCGTCAAAACAACATCTTACGGATCACTTTCAGTAGAAGAAGTCACAAAAACTGAATGAATAGTTTGGTGTAGATTCAAAGGAGCGTGCGATTAAGGAAGAGCGATCCGCACGCCGACGGACAACTAATTTCACCTTGCACGTTGAGGTGCCTAGTACCCTTTGCCTTGTAGCTATAGATGTTGGATCTATCTCAGCTGGCGACCTGCATTACAATAGCACGTGCGACTAGAACATCTTGTGCTCGAGCGTCATGTTAGACTCTGGTTCCAAACCGACGCATGCGCGGAAGATGTTGATAAGCGCAGCCCGCTGCTTCGCGAGCGAATTGACGACCGGAGTACCCGGAGGAGTAAGCGGAGCCTGTAGACGTCAGATTAATCCATACTTCTAGCGCAGCGATATCCCTACCTTGAGCATGTAGCTGAGGACGCTCAACACGCTGTGGAACCCTTGATAGTCCTTGGTAGAGGCATCCTTCCACTGAACGCGCGTCATCAGCTCAGTGATAAGCACAAGATCAATGATTAGAGGGGAAGCCAGCAAGGAGTCCTCGCAAACGTTGAAGATGCTGATGGTCTGGTGTCCACCCATGAAGATCTCCGCATAGTACTCATCCAGAGCGCGCTTGTTATCTCCGACCGCGGGCATGTACTTGATGACGACGCAGTGATCCGGGTGCTCGCCTTCCTTGTAGAGAATGTTATTAGCCGCGACCATGTCATCGACAACAGTGGACTTGGAGATCTCCTTCGAGCGGAACTGCTTCTGAGAGCTCAAGTTCTTTCCGTCGTTATTGCCGAGGTGATTATAGCTCGAGATGGCAGTGAGCTTGATGCCGGCATTGATCAGGAAGTCGACCAGAGCGGACTTCATCTTGGTCTGGCCAGATTTGAAATCATCTCCGCCAATAAATGCACCATGCTTCTCTGCAAGCTCGATTGCACCGGGCACGAATGTGTTCTGGGGAGAACCGTTGATAAAAGGCGCGCCCTCTAGGATACACGCTACGGCAAAGACAGTTGAAGGCGCAACTTCTTCGTGGCTGTTCTCAATGGCTTTCAGGAGATTGTCGGCCGTGTCGTTGACGCCATCAATGAGCTCTGCGTAACGCTCAGTGTTCGCAGTCCACTGAACGATGACCTTGTCCAGGCCGTTTGCAGACTTGAAATCACTAGGAATGGATTAGCAATTCAGCACTAACCGGTCACGTGTCTCAATACATACCGGATGTTTTCGCGAATCTGCTCAACATGACCCATGCAAGCCTTCTCGCCCGGCAGAAGGTTATCTGCACGGTCGCCCTGGTTAGCGGCAATGAAATCTGGATAGTAGATGCTTGGAAGTGGCGCCATCGTAGCCATCTCCTTCCTGATCATGCTCTTCAGGGTGGGCTCCAGAACAGCCGCTCGGTCCATGGCATCAGCCAGGTTCATTCCATTGATGTCCCAGCCACCGATAACAAGGTCGTTCGGATGAACCATAGGAAGCAGATCGTGGAACGGAATATTAATCTCCTTTCCGGTCTTGGATTCCGTGCCGAGCTTGACAGTGGAGGCCATGACTAGGGAGCCGTAGTAGTTCGCGGCACGCTTGCCCTCACGGGTATCCCAAACGAGTCCATGGCGGTTGGCCAGGATGCCTGCAGTGACGGTGGTACCATTGTTACCGCCCCAGCCGACAAGCATCATGCCCACTTTGCCCAGCTTTCGGTCGACCCTGAAGTCATAAACCTTCTCTTCCGGCACAGCAATGAGCTTGCCGTCGCTGCCCTGAGTGACCGAGGTAGTCCGGTAGGTGTACTTGCTCTTGATAGCCGTGTCCGTGTACTCGACGTTAGGAGAGTTGACAGTGAAGAGATCCCTGCCGGTGGACACTCCATTGGTTGGTCCGGTTCCATTCCCGTACGCCAGGTCGCTGCTGTCATCTGCATGAGGTGCCATGTTTGATTGTGTTAGATAGTCTTAGGTATCTGTGGCGATTTATTTGACGTAGCGAATGGCCGATGCTCCTCCCGGGGAAGAAGTGCGTCGACCGGCGAAGGGATGGTGGACCCTACAGGACATGATTAGCGGTGTTGCTGTTGCAGTGCACCCATAGGCCAAAGTAGCAGTGGAATATGTGAGCAAGGCGCAGCTAGGGATAGTGGTACTTACGAGTTTAGTAGATTGGCAAACGTCTTGACGGCTGGGCAATGGCCCTGGGTTTCGGTTTTGAGAAGTGTGTGATGGTGCTGGAGGTTTGAGGGATTTCGAAAGTTACTGCTGACGATTGTTTGCGTAGAAGATTGAAAGTGCCGTGGACGAGTCTTTATTCTGTGGTAGCTCGTGACAATCGATAAATCGCCGGAACTCGTCGGGGCCTAGACCCTTCACCGCAACCTCTGCCGGACACCCTACCACTTCTATTCGTTCGCATGATTATCTATTACCAGATCGTTACGCGAGATGACCGCCGAGGGGTTGATCGATGAAGCTGAACTGTTGTGGAAGGCGTACAGGTAGCAACCTAGGTAAGGCCGTTCCATTGAAGTACCATTCGAGTCCACTCCGCCTTATCAACAGCGGACCGCACCTTGACACCAGTAAAAGGCGTTCACGCCCCGGCTATCTGTACCAGAACGACTCCGAGACATCTGATAGGATGTTGAGAGGATGACAAACTTGTAGCGCCATGGGAAAGCTTAGAATTCCCATGGTTGAGTCGCATGGGATTCATTCTCGCTGGCACAAAACAAGTAACGGCGAGGGCTCATTCGGGCTGGTATGACATCGCTCTGCATTCCTTTGAGCAACTCTTATGTTGCATTTCGTGTATCGTGAATGAGATAGGATTGAAGTCAACGTTGCTGCGATCTGCAAGCCTCATGCAGCCTTAAATGCATAGTTTCATCTTTGCAAAAGTCCATTGGGTAAAGGCTCTTTGCTGGAAAATACCCAAGTATGTTTTCATTTATTATCCATTTTAAAGTCTTTTCGAATGGAGCACTCTTTCTTCTTACGTAGGGCTTGTCCGAGCTGTGTTTGGCAGAGCCGTCTGATTGGAGTAGTGCGGTATATGACCAGAAAGGCTGTGTAAAATTGCAGGAACTCAATATCTGTTCCTATCAACCGGCTTTCCGACCTCATGTTGTCGAAGCATAGTTCTTCGAGTAGCTGCTCAGATCTCCAGTCCCTCATTCGTCCATACGCCCGACTCTGCAGGTATTGTGCGACAAGTACAGTTTTGAGTCTAATATTGATAGAACTGCGCTGCTCTGAAGGTGGTGGTTACGAAACATGATCAAAGCTTTCTAGACAGTGCTTACATGACCTGATTCGAAGGCTGCGGAAGTCTTCTCAAGTTGAGAATTATGGGAACCCCGCAGGTAGCTACGCTTCCGTTTGACCGTTATCAAAGGGTAGAAGCTGGCGGCTGTCTGCTTTGATCCTTCATTCGTTCTGATCAGACGATCTTTCTCGGGCTTGATATGCAAGCGGTTGGATGTATGTCGAGAGTTCATTTGCATGGCGCGGCGTTTTTCCTGATGGAATTAGTGTTGTAAGGTTGGGCTGAATATCACAATCTATTACTCCCTCCCGAACGGATTCTACCTGTGCGCAAGGTGCTGAAATGCAGTCGTAATGAAAAATATTGAATATCCTGGAATCTATAAGCGAACGCTCGAGGGCTGGAGTGAAGTGCTCTCCCGTATTCGCGTATGACACATTCGATTCTCGCTAGCTTGACTTTGATTTCTGAAGAATTTGACGGGCGATGCATTATATCCTCCCCAAAAGTCAAGATTCATGACATAGTCGCCCTATCCAGTGCAAAAAACATATCGAACACCAAAGTGAGCGCCGAAAAGGCGCCTTGGCGCCTTCTCGGCATATACGTTTGAAGATATATACGAGTAATCCCCGGATTCTACCTCAACCATCCCAGGAGTTCCTGGTCATCTTCGATGGTCTAGTGGTGATGATTTCCGCTTGTCATCAGCGTCACAAGCGCAATGCCAAGCCGCGGGAGACCGGGGTTCGATTCCCCGTCGGAGAGTTCATTTTTGGACTTTTTTCTTTTTTTGCTTTTCACTCCTGAGCTTCAGGGCAGTGAGCAGGAGCATTTTGAGTTTATGTTTTGACTATCCGCAACGCATAGAAACGGTACAGGCAACGGGTGAGCTAAAACTATGGATTTGGAGGACGAGACGCGGTTTGCAAGACTGGGAAGAGCATAGTCACGTGGACAACTAAGAGATTTTCTAAGCACGTGATAGGCTCGGGCCGAACAGGACTGAGGAACAGAACAGCGACTTCCATCAGGCTCACCAACATTCAGTTTACGACCATCCACTTAACTCATGAGGGAAGCCCGTTGGCTGGTGGCCAGCACTCTGTCTCCCCTCCTCTGAAGTCATTGTCAAGCCATCGGCAACTCATACTGCATTGAAACTTGGTTGTTCTATGCTTCCCCCTCAAGTTTGATCGCAGAGATGTTTATGTACACTAAGGCCTGAGTATGAGACTAATCTTTGTGTCTTCGAATAAGGGATTAGAGTTGCAGCGCCTCTTCTTCCCTGTAATATCTTACACAGGCCTAACCTCTCGCTTGTCGAAGCTCATATCTCTCATCTAGCTATCTCAACGTTCTCAGGCTGCGTCACGAGATTGCACAATATGGGGTCCGGCAACGCTTTCAAACTCGGAAGTCTTCCTTGTGCGGGTTCAAGTTCTCTCCAAGAATCCGCTCCTCTTCCTGCTGGTCCATGTTGTCCCTCCCCAGGCTGATGATCTCCCCAACCATGCTCAAGTCCTCCATCACACCCAGTTTGCCATTGATTGGCTTGCAGAACTGGTGATGTTCATGTGCGAAGTAGTGGTAGAATGGTAGCAGCGTCTTATCGAACTTGGTGCCGGATACGATGTGGAGAAGACAGGGATGAATAGGAACACTATTATCCCTCATTTGGGCGCTAATTGCTGTCAGTCCATGTTTCAAAATGGATGGCGGACAATCCGCCAGGAACCTTACTACTGAGCTGGAAAGCCGAAGCTGGAGCCAGGTCGAGCCATGATGAGATCGACTTTGTCATCCGTACGGTACAGGACGCGGACTTGCGAGCCGCAGCCTGGTTCCTTGCATTTGTCAAACCAGTCTAGAAACTCGGTCTTCCACAAACGCAGGTCTGTGTCCCGATCGTCGCTCTTTATGCTGGTTGCGGCAACTGACATCAGCACTGCGCTACGGAAATAGCGGCAGAATTCTTGGAAGATGTCCCGCGCGGTTGCTTCCTTTCGCGCCCTGGCCGTTGTGGCCGTCGGTTCAGTACTCCTCTGCTTCGACGGGAGGCGCTGTACTGTCTCGGCATCCATCCGCGCTATGTGACGCATAGCACTGAGATCGTAGTCCTCGTCGGCATGTCCAAGTACGAAAAGACCAAGATCGTCGAGGAGCGCGTCCATTATTGTCAGCCACATCGCCGGCATCGGAAAGCCAACATGGATGACAGCAAGAAGAAGAAACAGCCGCTTCATCTTGTAGTGGAGGGCTCCCCACTGGACGCAGCCGTCGCTTTCCACGAACATCTCCCAGCGGCGTAGCTCGTTCATCAGACGCCGGCAGTGGTAGACGTTGTCTCGGAAGAACAGAAGACTCAGCCTGCTGATGTCCTTGTCGCCAGTCCATGCATCCCGTTTGCTGTATGCTAGAAGCAGCTGCGGCGGTCGTTCAAGGATGATCTCGAGTGCTTCATACACCTCTTGGAGCGCTTCGATAAATGGAGACTCACACAAAGCATTCAATTCCTGCAATAGTCAGGGAAAGGCTCATTCGAAGTGAGAACGCTGCGTACCTTGGCGAGATTCTCATCTAGCTCCAAGAGCTTTTCCTTTGACTCGACCTTATGCTCATCACTACGGTCAGCCTTGGGTTTAGTTACGACAGTCTTTCCTCGAGCGCCCTCATTTGCAATGATGAGAAGCGGCGAGTAACTCCCACGGCGCCAACCACAATGGTATTCTGGGGTGAATTGTGCCTCCTTCATGATCCGATCCGCAAAGCGGTCAGCGTCCAGCTCGTACTTAGACGTTTCAATCTTGCTGATGGTTTCATCCTCCGGTAGCTCGTAGAGAACACCACAAAGGCCATTGGTACCGATGTTCTTAATCCATCTCCCGAGCAGCTCTATTCCTTTCTGGTCGAGTTTGGATGTTTTCGCGATATTGTGAACATCTGACTTGAATGCACGAAGCCGCTGTATGCGATCGATGTCGGAGTCTTTGCCGCCGGAGCTCCATATCTTGGTAATAAGGTGTAGCTCCAGATCAGTGCATGACGCGTGAGCCGCGACGAACGCCAGCCTCGTTTTCTGAAGCAGAAATAGGCTGTAGCACCTATTTTCGTCTTCTTTCGACTGTTGCTTCAGATCCCGCGTGAAAATCTCGAGTTTCAGGCTAGGCGTGATGACGTTCTTCTCGTAATAGTCTATCGCACGTCTCACGACTTCCTGCCTGTTGGGTTGAAACCAGCGTTTCTTCCAGTTCTGCGTTATGGCTCATTAGCATCTCGTAGGTAAGAAACCGATATCGGTTTCCACCTGCCTTGAAGCCATTATAGTTGGCGTATCTGTTCTGGAGATGTACGGCCGCAAGCCACGAGCGGCTCAGCGAGATGCACTCGGCGCGAGGAGGCTTGATCATCAGCTCGAAGAAGGACGGCTCACACACCAGGTGAAGCCCGAGAACGTCCAGCCAACGCTCCTCCAACAGTATCTTGTCTTTTGCAGAATGTCAGCTCCAGCTTCGAAACGATGCACGGCTCGGAAGCATAGCACGTCTCCCTTCATCATGTCAAGTAGTCGCGAACGCACCTGGTCCTGTCGTCTGAACTTCTTTGTCTTCCTCAGATTTCTTACGGCCTGCGTCTACGCACAGTGAGATCCAACGTTTCTCTGACATACGGTCGGCTACGCAAACAGGTTGACCTTGATCAGAGATACGTTCTCCATCTTCGGAGGACCCGCTGCTTGATGTATCTGATGACGTGCGTTCGGGAGGGCGCGGCGGATCTTGGAAAGACATTGTGGCACTGCGATCACGGCTGTGTGCGGTTATCTGCGAGGCGATAGTTGTATCCGAGCGATTGCTTGTGATCAAGCCAGTGCGAGAGTGTGTCGCTGTTTGTTTGTACCGTTCTAGTGTAGAAAGAAATCACTTCACCGGACTGGTCATATGACCTGCCTTACCGCTTCACAATCATTCAGCTACTGGCGTGCCTTGAAATGCAAAGCTTTACCGCCACGTTCTGCCACTGTTCTGCTCTAAACATCCACTTCTGTGCGCCACCGTGCTCGATGCTTCTGGGAGCGGGCGGGGATCCAGACAAAACTACTAGGATTTCCATACGTTGCATAATTGGAGGCCCAATAGATTACTTTGCTTACCTGAAGTGCTTCATACCTATCTATTTGACCCAACAAGGACATGTAACAAAAGTCACTTAGTTAGACCCATGTCACATGATCCTGATGTTCGTGAGGCCCGGCCAAAGTCCGGCCGGGCTCCGCACTGGCCTTTCAGCCACCAAAGAATCCTTAGGCTCTCCCGTTCTCCAGCGGCTTCAAGCGGCACCTCTTCCAAACGTTTTGCAAAAAAGAAAAAGTCCAAAAATGAACTCTCCGACGGGGAATCGAACCCCGGTCTCCCGCGGCTTGGCATTGCGCTTGTGACGCTGATGACAAGCGGAAATCATCACCACTAGACCATCGAAGATGACCAGGAACTCCTGGGATGGTTGGGATCAGAATTTTAGTTTTTTTGAATATATTCGCAAAAAGAATAGGCCATAGCTCACCGCAGCGATGACTATTACCTGAACACCGCTGATCCGGTACCTTATGTGCTTTCTGGAACGGTATCAGAATGGAACCGTGATTAGAGAAGGACAGAGCGCATTAATGATCTGAATTTATGCTTACAAGAATTTGTTCGATCTATCAATCACGTGGCTCCTACCCTGTCAAAGAGCACAAGCAAACGACCACCATGAATCTTCCCATCTCGGCCTACGACTCCAGATTACCGCATACGGCCACCCTCCTACATACTTTCAACCTTGAGAACAAGGAACACGATTGAAATGGGAGTAGCGGACGGATGCCCCTGGCTTCATTTGTACTTACGACCGCAGAACGAAATCTTTCCTTGTGGAGGCGCGGCGCATATGCCCGCAACCACACAAGCGACAGATCACAGAAGCGGCCAGATGAGGACAGATGTGATGTGATCTCGCGTATTCTTGCTATATCATGCATTTCAGTCATTGCCTCTCCCAGCCAAGGACATCCAAATCTCCCCCAGTCAACCCATAACCCATCGGTTTGCTTATACATGATACACGCCACACGCTAAGTGCTACCTCAAGTCATCGACGCCGCCGCCGTCGGTCCCACCAATGTTGAAGGTGCAAGACTGCCCTCGATACGCCGCTTCGCGTCCTGCTTCTCTTCCATGGTCGGGTTCTCCTTGCGCATGTCTGGCGTGTGCGGTGGACGGTCTGGGCTGTGTCCGATTGACATGCCGACACGGATCTGGGAAGTGGTGTAAGCCTCCAGATTCTAAAGGAGGGGTATTGCTAGGTTAATGGGGAACTCACCAATGTCTCTAAAGCGCCTTTGGAGTTATCAACAAGATCCTCATCGAACACCATGCTGCCAGGTTCGAAAAGTAGGAGAATAGTACTTCCACCTAGAATGCGTTAGCCCCCAGAGTAGGCGATTGAGCAAGCGTATACGCCTACCAAACTTAAAGTACCCAAGCTCCTCCGCACGCTTCACATGCTCGCCCGCCTTTCTCGTGATGACCGTACTCCCCACCATCATCGCACCGACGCAGATGACCATGACCCTCCCATGCGCAACCGAATCGATCGGTACAACAACCCTCACGTTCTCCCCGTACACATCCAGCGCCGACCGAATAGCCATAGGATTCACGGTATAGTACTCGCCCTCAATAAGCTTCGGCTCATTCATCACGCCGTCAACAGGGATATGGAAC